GAGGAGGGCGAAAGGGATAATTCAGCACATGTGTGTGGTGATGGGTTATAGATAGTATTTGCGTGATGAACATGATGTAATCTATGCAGAAATAGAAATATAATGATGCACACCTGAAATTTATACAATGTTATGAACCAATGTTACTGCAATAAACAAAAAATTAAAAAATAAATAAAAATAAATAAATAAAATTAAATATATTTCTTATTATGTCTCATGGCCTAAAACTTGAGCCACTGACTGTGATAGAGCAATCAAGATCTAAAAGCCATTGCCAAAGGGTTGCAAGGATTAAACAAGATTATGGATATAAAGGGGCTAATATAAGTGTTGCTGTTCTATTTTTACAAACTATGACTATCTCTGGATAAAGATGTGCTAATTTGAACTTCAAACCTCCAGTCACAGTTATTAAAAGCTTATTTTAAAATGTTTACCTAGTTAAAAACAAAACATGCATTACTTCCAAACAGTCTTTGGATTCTAATCAATACACTTGTTACTTGGCAAAATCCACCAACATTACAAATGCATATCCTTTCACCCAGCAATTCTACTTCAGGGAATTTACCTAGAAATATACTTCACATATGAATAAACTAAATGTGTACAATATTTTTTTTTACTGCAGCATCATTTTATGTAACAGCAGAAATTTTAAGCAAACTAAATATCCATCAGTAGAAACCTTGTTAAATTTTAGCACATCCATACAATGCTGTTGGTAACAACAATGAGGAAGCCATTGGAAGGAGTTTCAAAATACATTAATGAAAAAAAAAAAAAAAAAGAACAGGCAAAAAGGAAGGGTAACACCTGTGTTGAAAGAAACATTTTTGCTCTAAAGGGATTATGCATAAAATGTTTCCGGAAGAATACAAAAACAAGTAAATAGAAAAAAGAGAGTATATATTTGTTTGTATATACATAGACTGTTTCTGGAAGAATATATAAGAAATAGGTAAGGAGAAGAGAGCAGTTGAGGTGAGAAGGATAGATATATATATACATGTATGTATGTGTAAAAATTTAAAACAACAAATCAGAATCCACTAACAAGATATAGTCAACTGATATTTAGAGTGATCAAATTTTATGCTTACTTATAGAAAGCAAATGAAAACCAAACTAATATAATGCAGGACAAACATAGGACATGGTCCTCTACATAAAAGAAAAGCTGCATTTGAAGTTTAGCAAAGAAAGTTTTACTCCTTGGCTATTGTTAGAGGTTAAAAATAAACTGGGACAATGTCAAATATTTCTAATCTGTCACCTCAATGAAGATCAACAATAAATACTAGTGTCTACTATATATAACTGTTATCTCTAGCACTCCTTAATTAAGCTCAAAAAAAAAAAGGAGGCAATTACTAGTACTTTCCTTATCTATTCCAGAGTTAGCCTCTTTGCAATAATGACTAAGGTAAAAAAGGAAAGAAATTCATTCTTTCCTTGACACATATACATTATATGTTAATTACATATTAACATATATGTATGTATACATATGTATGTAACATACATACATGTATGTATGTCTTACATACATAAGACTACAAAATTGTAGTCTTATTAATCACATAGATGGAGTTGCAACCATCCCAAGACCATGTATTATACTAATTCATGTCATTACAGTTCCAATACAAGAAAGAAGATCAGAAGAGGCAGAAGAATGTCAACGCTAACACTTGGGCAATTTACAAAGCACCTTTTGAAAAGAGCAGCATGGAAACTACTACTGAAGATACTAATAGTGTTTACTTTAAAATTTTAAAAATTGAATCTGCATAGCAGTTTCTACCTATTGTAACAACAGTCTCAATTATTAACCATAAAAATATAAACAGAGGAATGAGAAAGAAACCTTGACAGCACTTGGATGTAAGTTGGTGGTAGGAATGAGGACGTATGTCAGATGCGGGACACTAAACTCAGAACACCTGCACCTTACCTTCTTCTGAAGAACATTAACCTTGCGCTCCTTCACATCCAGCATGTCCTTGAGGTCATGTATCTCTCCAGCCTGTGTCCCCTTCTCCTCAGCCATATCCTGAATTTGTTTTGTCTTCTTATTCAGCATGGTTTCCTTCTCTTCCAAACGCAATCGGAGAGCATCCACCTAAGAATGTAAGATTTTTACAAATGATTAATTAAAAGAAGGGAATGTAATTCCTTTCAAATAGATGTGTATAGTTGCCCAAATGATACTTATGTAGTAAACTTTCATTAGAATCAAACACAGTCCCACTCTAAATATAATTATTACTACTTAGAAATCAAATCCTAAAACTTTGTGAGCACTTTTATAATAAAAATAAAATTTATATCAGTTAAATTTATATCAGGATAAACAGATCTGAATCAAGGGGACAAAATAGAGAATTGTTATAAAGAGGTTGAGTTTTGCTACTTCTATTAAAGTTGTATAATCCGCAACTATGTTTCTCAAACTTTCTGTGCATTAGAACCACTTGGAGGGTTTAAAGAGATTGCCAGGCCCAGCCACCAGAGTTTTTGATTCAGCAGGGTTGGGGCTCAAGAATTAGTATTTTAACAAGTTCCCAAGTGATGCTACACTGCTTTAGAAAATGTAAAATTGGAAAGAAAACCATAAGCATTACCAAGCATGACACTTGCTGTATCAGATAACACAATCTAGCTGTAGGACGTGATGCTTTTAGGGCAGACAATCCCATAATTCACTTAGATATCTGTACAAGGCAAAGCAAAGGTCTACTTTCAGACCCCAAGACTAGTCAGCTAAAGTCTGGTGTCCAGTTATCTTTATTCCTGAAGTTTAACAGCTTTTGTTAGATGTAACTTTAAAATAAATAAAATCTAATCATAGTCCTTTTTTTTTTTTTTTTGGGGTGGAAGATTAGCCCTGAGCTAACATCTGCTGCCATTTCTCCTGTTTTTGCTGAGGAAGACTGGCCCTGGGCTAACATCCATGTGCCATCTTCCTCTACTTTATATGTGGGACACCTGCCACAGAATGGCTTTACAAGCAGTGCCTAGGTCCGTGCCCGGGATCCAAACCTGAGAACCCCAGGCCATCAAAGCAGAGCATGCCAACTTAACCACTACTCCACTGGGCCAGCCCCACAGTACTTATTTTTAACTCTATTCACAGTAAATTTCATTAAGCATACTCACACACCAAATTTTTCTGGTTTTTTTGCTTTTCCGCTAAGGATTTATAATTCAGCAAACAGTTACACATTTAATTATAGCAAAACAAGGAGGTGGATTTCTTTCATCTTAAGACAGTGAGACATCTTAAGACAGAAATATAACGTAAGTCATATACGCAAGCCACATATCAAATTTTAAATTTTCTAGTAGCCACATTAAAAAGTAAAAAAGAAACAGGTAAAATTAATTTTAATAATATATTTTATTTAATCTATCTACAATATTGTCATTTCAAGCATGTAATCCATATTTAAAAAACTGTTAACTTATTTTACATTCTTTGTTTCATACTAAATCTTCAGCGTTCAATGCACATTGTAATTTATACTTAACAGCATATCTCAGTTTAGACTAGCCATACTTCAGGTGCTCAACAGCCACATGTGGCTGGTGGCTACCACACTGACAGTGCAAATCTAAGATATCAAGTATGTTTCTACAAAACATCTTTAGTCTTGAACTTGTCCTATATTATTTTTTCTGTCTGACTGTGGATTAACAGTTAATGGCTTAAAGAAAAAAAAGGTAATATGGGTAATGACTCATATTTAGAGTACACCAAAACTCTCAGGAAAAATCTAATATTATATCTAAACTATAAGGTGTTTGAGAACCAATACTATGTGTATGGTGGTACTTACAGCTCAGTGGGCATGGAAAATTTCCTCCTCAACTGCTATAGTTGAGTCACTATGTACTTACACATTATGCTGGACTATGCTGGGAAAACAAAACACGTAAATAAACCAGATTTCACTCTGCTAAACTACATTTCTACCAACCACTTCAATGCCACCAGTCTCACCGAACCAGAAACTGGGGAAGCTATGTTTTTAGGTACCATTTATAATCCTTCACCACAAGTTCTACCATGCCCCCTCAATAAAAACTCTTTCACCTCTAATCTTCCTCTGTTCTGCTTCAATGAACGATATACGGTTAATCTTATCATATTCTGGAAAGGCCCACCTAAGAACTTTCAAACTCTGAAAATCTTATTTCTGAAACAATTCTTTTCTTTCTTCTATGCCTGCTAAATCTACTCTTTGTTCACAGCATAACCTCTGATCCATCATCCCTATGTTTTTTTCCTTATTCATGTCTATTCTGGTTTTACTTGTTTTTCTCTCAGTTTTTCTCTCAGCCTGAACAGTCATTTCAAACACAGCCTCACACCATCTCCCTTTTTTTTTCAGTCACATTTGCTTTACAAATCTTTACTTCTATATTAAACAGCTTTCTTTATTCTACCCTCAAACTTCTGACCCTTCCTACATATGGTCATGTATATGCTTGCCAACCATATATATAGTATATTAAAAATCCTTACCATTCTATCCTCAAGTATCGTATTTTCTTCCCCTGCATTCTCCCTGTGGAAAATTTCACTCTCCCATGGCAATCTGAGAAGCTGATACTTAGAGAGGATAGCAGGCCCAAGATCTCATAGCCATAAATAAGTGATAGAGAAGGGATTTAAGATTAAATGGTCTGTCTCCAGATCCTATGATCTTAACCACTAATTCTATAATACACTTCTCCTCTCAGAGCTAGACAAAAAAGAGTATATATTGTATGATTTCATATATGTAAAGTTCTAGAAAATGCAAACTAATTACAGCAATGCAAAGCAGATGAAAGGTTGCCTGGGAATGAGGGCGGAGGGTGGAAGTAGTGCAGAATATCAGGGAGAGGCAGGAGAAAGAGATTACAAAAAGGTACAAGAAAACTTTTGGGGGCCAGCCGCTGCGGCTTAGTGGTTAAGTTCAGCGCGTTCCACTTCGGTGGCCCAGGTTTGGTTCACAGGTGCAGACCCACACCATTCGTCTGTCAGTGGCCATCCTGTGGTAGTAGCTCACATACAAAAAGAGGAAGATTGGCAGCAGTTGTTAGCTCAGGGCGAATATTCCTCAGCAAAAAAGTTTAAAAAAGAAAACTTTGGGGACAATGTTCATTATCTTGTCTGTGGTGTTGGTTTCACAAGTGTATGTGTCAAAACTTACCAAACTGTACATTTTAAATATATGCAGTTTATTTTATGTCAATAAATCTGCTTTTTTTAAAAAGTAAAATTAGAAAACATGGTAATGGTATAGGAATAAACCAACAGACTGTCGCAACAGAAGTGGAAGCCCAGTTACTGACCCACACATACAGGGACTCATACATATATAAAACAGAGGTGACACTGTAATCAGTGAGGAAAAGATAGAGTATTCAATAAATTGTTGAATTTATTCAGCTAGACAATTGGCTACCCATAACGGGGAGGAGGGAGGATCCCTAACTCATATCATACACAGAAATGAATTCTAGGTGAATTAAAGATTTATATATGAAAAGCAAATCTTTACAACTTTTAGAAGGAAATATAGGAAAATACTTTTAAGGTATTGAGGCATGGAAGGATATTTTTTAAAAGACACAGAATGGACACATCATAAAGGAAAAATACTGATAAATCCGACTATGTTAAAATTTAAAACTGCACATCATGATACCATTTTAAAGTGTTTATATTTTTATGTGCCTGAAATAGTTCTTAGTAAAAATAAAACTAAGGAAAATAGAGGCATATTTATACTTGCTTTTAAAAATGTAGATATTTTGTAAACTGGCCAAAATTAAACATGACCCAACACAGAACTACAATTTTTAAAATTTATGACCATTTACAATTGCTCCAAAAAAATTAAATTCTTAGGTATAAATCTAATAACACATGATAGGATCTGTATGCTGAAAGTTAGAAATGGCTAATTAAAGAAATCAAAAAAGATCTAAATGAGTCCTTCCTTTGAGTACTATATGAAATGTAAGCCTACCTAAAATTTTCCTCCAGGACAAAGAAAAAGAAAAGATTACTTAGCAGTGATTAAAAAAAAATGTGTTTTACTAACAAACAGTAGAACTACAATAAGTCAAACCCAGTGAATCCAAGAGATGTTACACTAAAAATTTCCACTTTTGGTGCCTGACTTCAGCACTGAAGACCTCAGAGCAAGAATTAAAATCCAATCCAAAACAAAGATGAATTATATGATTACCACTGAGTTTTCCAATGGTCCTTTCTAAAGTGCAAGATGACAAAAGTCTTTAAGTTTCCCTTGGTTTTCCTTCATCTACCTACTACAATCAGAAACACTTCACCAAGCAAAGAAGAAAAAAGGTCCAGAAGAGAAATGTCAGAACAGACTGAATATTAATTCAATCGAGAGAAAAGGACTGCCACCACAGAGCAAAGATCTTTGTAGAATATGAAATTCAACAACTAGGCTGCTCAAGATGCCAAAAAAACTCACTGACCCTTATCCACTTGGCATTCAGGCACAGCTCAAGCTTGCCTGGCGTGGCTACTAATCCTATCTGACAGTATCAGATTTGGTTCCTATTAGCTGAATCCATTACAGGGCATCAGTCACGGTGAGTCAAGAGGGTGCTTATTGAATCCATTGACCCTTCTGCATAGTTAAAGAGGTCAAAGTCTTAGAAAAGTATACATGTCAAAAATTTAAAAAATAAATAAATCACACACTAAATAATTTGTACCTAACTTCTACATTCTAATTTGTATTTTGTATACTATATATTCCACCTCTAATATGTATACTATGTATTCCAATAACCACAAGCAAAAAACAAAGCAACTCACCTAAAAAAAAATTTTATGCAACATCCCCGAAATACACTATTCAATTCTTATTATAAAGGCAAAAATCCCTGACATTTAAACCTGTAGATAAGTCTTAACTGCCTAATTTCCTTGTCTCTCAGTTCTTCTCAGCATTAATAGCAGAAAAATGAAAGGCTTTCCGTCCGTGGGTCAGGAATCAGAACACAGCAGGAAAACATCCCTTATCACTTCTAAATGTTTCTCATTCTGATGGTACCAAAGTCTCATAGGACAATAACTGTTAGACTTCA